ACTATGGAAGTAGGCCGCCAAAACCATTACAAATCATCAGGTTGGTTACCATAGTAATGTTACCTGTCAGTTATCCGTTTCCAAATAAATCGTGATTAATATTCTTCCAAATCGGCATAGTGACTTCCACATAAAAGGTAGAAACATCGCGGACTCTTCTTTAGAACTAATCAAGATAAATAATCTTACAGTACATTATCTTTGTCTAACTCCTATGCACTACTTCGGCTTAACTAACATTTTGTGTTACGTATGTACAACCCATTACGAATTCTAGCCTATATGTTATTCTGGTATATGACATAAATTACTGTAAAGTTTCATCCAAATCCCATCACACACACACACACGCATACATTCTCACAAACTTTCACATTTATAATACTTTTTAGTAGGAATGTTGTGTTCATCATAATTTTCAAGTTGAGATTTTTATAAAAGCTAAATTTTGGTAAGATCGGTAGGAATATTCTCGACATAAAATCCATTCATTCATTCACTCTTCTAGTCTTTTCATACATGCATGTACTTTTAATTTAGCCCTACTTTAATTTATCGCCAATCTGGCCGATATACGCTCTCTACTGACGGTCCTGTATAATTCTTTCGTAAATATGCTTTCATTCCATTCTACATGTCCAAACGATCGTAACATTCCCTTTTCTTTTTATCACTACATCGTCTTTTAATCCACACCTTTCTCTTATAACGCTATTTTCCAGACATAAAATTAGAAGAGAATGCCATCCGACATTAAGCCCGCCATTGTATAAACATTTGTACATAAAGTATTAAAATAAACAAATAAAATTGTCTTCTAAAATGTATATATCGGAATAAAATTATCTCATATACAGATCCGTAGCACAGTTTTTCAAATTCATAAAATGGACATTTTACAACCCTATAGAAAGGTTATAGATATAGTTACCTGCAACTTCGTCGTCCGTCGGAGGCGTTACGTCATTTTCACTTTGGAACAATTCGTACGTTTCTGGATGATTATTTTTTAGATGTTTTTCCATATAAGACGTCCCCCTACTCCGATGGTACGTTTTTCTACAATATTTGCATTTAACCTTCGTGTCATCTTCACATATTGAGAAATATTTCCATATTGGGCTTTGTGTTGGAAATCAAATATCAGGAAGCTCTAAAACTTTTAGGTATGATCACTAGGAATATTCTCAACATAAAACCCATTTATTCATGCATAACCTCACGCCTCTATCTATCTATCTTAGGGTTAGGGTGGTAGTCAGAGACGATGGAACACCAATTTATACGATTCTTACATGCTTCTTTCGCTTCCTCAACAGCAATTAGTATTTTCATGCATGCTCGTCTGTTAAGGCTACTGTTAGTTGGTCCATTCGTATCCACTCTGTATCCTTCTTTAGTAAATCTGCATGCATCCATCCTTTCTGTATGTCCAAACCATCGTAGCATTCCCTTATCTTTCTTTGTTACTACATCGTATTTCAATCAACACCTTTGTCTGATAACATTATTTTCCAGAAAAAGAATTGTCTACTAAAATTTATACATCGGTGTCAAATCACATACAGATCCGTTCCACAGTTTTCCTAACTCATAAAATGTTGTAAGTTATGTATGTATAAATAACAGATACGCGGTTCGTACTCACGACCTTATATAAAAGTTATAGATATTTACCTGCAACTATATCCTTTTCATTTTTCAAAGGTTTCATGCCGTGTTTGGTTATGAGCAATTTGTATTCGTTTTCATGACATTTCTTTAGATGAGTTTTCATTGGAGTGTGCGATTTAGAATTGTACTTATTTTTACATAATTTGCAATGAGCCATATTTGGATCACTTTCACTGAATTCGAAATATATCCATATTGGGCCTTTTGTTGGTGGCATGTTTATTCACAGTTACTTTTACTGTATTATAAAACTGATTAAACACAATACACAAATTGATAAAGCGCAACAAAATGTACGTCGAACCAATGATGCTATTGATTCGTATTAATTCCGTACAGCCATACAGAGCTTGCGCCTTGCAGTCTGATAAGGCAAGATAACAATGTGTTATTGTTACATGTCATGACTTGTTCCGACTTGCATTATTTTATGTCCCCAATCGATATTTGCATGATACTGGTAGGCAGCGTCACTGACTACTTGCTTGTCCGCCGAGCTGGCGGTCTCCCCATGCTGGTAACTGCGTCCAACGGGCTGGGCGATTGCTATGATCAATGACCTCCTACAGAGCAATCCTGAATTCCTGATGCTGACCTGTTTTTCGATGACGTTAGTATAATGTCCAAATACTTTTTGAACTAGCTCAATGACTCGTAACACATAATTTCATAATAAATAGGTACTTAATTTGTTTTTGAATTGTTTGTCGGTGTTTATTGTTGTTTTTATTGTTGGGTTGTTTTTTATTTTTTT